AACTGCATGTTAGAAATGATTAATCCTCAAAAAAATCCCAAAAGTTGTTGCTGTTTTTACAGCTTCTGGCTCCGATGAGTGATGTAGTTTTTAAAGATATCATTAAAATCTTATACTTTGAAATGTTTTGTCCCTTTTTCATGTGTGCTGACGTTGATGTGTTTGTAGAAACTTCAGTCATTTAAGACTCTTTGTTGTGTTTTAATATGCATTTTACTATACTCTGTTTATATCTTCTGATGGCGGTAATTTCAGCTAAACGCTTACATAAGCTTTCCACAGCACTCTGAAGTTATTTCCAAGCTAAAACCAGTTGGCCTGCAGCAGGTAAAATGCTCTGAAGCTCACAGAACAACAAGCTTTGCACTCAAGCGGTGCGAAAACACAAGTGCTGGCAGGAGCCACGGTGTACCTGAAGGTTGTAATCAGACCACACACACCCTGTGTTTCTGCGTCTCTACATTTTTTTGTAATTTCCTGATGCTTCACACAGAAGTGCAGCGCGTTGGCACTTGGAAAGCGAAGCACTTGTCAAAACATCCATCAGGAGCGAAGCGAACTGGCTGCAGAGCCTTCAGCCGCAGAATCAAAGGAAGGTGTGTCCAACCCTGGAAACGTCCAGGAGAGGTGTTGGTGCTGTCACCGTGGCAACGTAAACAGCAGGGTTCAAACACTGATTGAAATGTGTGCAAAGATTATGCAAGGTCTGTGTGTGCACAGATTTGTGTGTTTGTGTGCACATGTGCAGGCACACATGGTTCCTTATGTTTCTCGGGTCTTAAAGGCAGACTCTTCTTTTAGTCTGTGCAGTTGCTGAAAACCACTTCGGCTCGCAACGCCCACTACTCACTTCTGGCATCCAGCGGAGCAGCAGGCGTGTGTTTTATTAGCAAACGTAAGTGTGTGTTTTACAGCGTCTCAGCAGTATAAAAATAAGTCTGTCTCTGTGTGCATGTGTGACTTGTGTGATTACCATGAGGGGAGCTGAGTTCTGTTTAATCTGCTCCTGGCCTCACCTGATTTTTCCACTCGGCTTCACACTGCAGGAGTTGTCTCCCACCAAAGCCAAGTATATACACACATTAACACACATGCAATGTCAAAAAAAAAAACCTCACGATCTTCTGGTAAAACTGATCTTCCAGGAGTCATATACACCCAGCTGGAGCTACGTTATTCCCAAGAACTATTTGAATGCATGGCTGCAAAACAAAAACTCTGTTGACATCATAACATCAGTAATTGCAGCCTAATATTGAATTTTAACTCACATTTGTTTTCAAGATTTAAATGCTGCATGTTCAAATACACAACTGCAGTTTAAAAAATTTAAAACAGTGAACAAAAACCTGAATAAAAACCCCAAACTACTGAAGAAAATCTAATTTGAGCAACTTAATTTATTAAATGTTCTTTAATTTAAAGGTTGTGGTAATAATTATGGTCACTAAGCACATTAAAATGAAAAAAATCTTTACAAAAATTCTAGTTGTACCTTAAATTTGAGAGTACTCTACTTCCTCCTGTCACCACTCTATTGCTCTTTAATTAAAAATAAAAACAAATAAATAAACCTTGTGTTCATGCTACCTATAATTATTTATGTGGTAATTAAAAATACCTTTTAATTGCAGAGGAAACACTAATTCCCCTAGCGTCATGTAGCTTCTTGGTTGAACAGAATTTCATTAGAAGTGGTGAAAACTCAAAAACACTGACGCAAACTGGTGCGTTAATTTTTTTTTTGTTGAGGTCAATCATCATTTTTTTTTAGAGTGCGTATTGAAGGAATGCTGTTTGCTTCACATCTGAGGCGGATTCACGTCTCATCTCTTTTCTCACAGGTTTTAGACTTTATGCTACTTTCATTGCCTGTTTTGTTCGTCTACTTATGAGTTGCATCACTTATGACTTCCCCTTTCTCAGTTAGTCATTTAACTGCATTAAATACGGCACATTATTTTATAGCTGAGTGGCTACGTGACTGCTGAGCTCCACCAAAGTCCTCCTGGGATACGTTCACACGTTGCTGCTACAGCTGTTGACAGTTCGCCCTCATACGTTCTGAGCGCTAACCGGTCAGACTTGCGTTGTTGTTTGTGTGTCGGAGCCGCCAAACGAGTTTCCTCGATGCTTATTATTAATCTGATCGAACTATATTTGACCTTGAACAACAGCCTCCAAGCATTACGTAACATGCAGCATTCACAGCTATTTCTAAGGGGTTAAGTTTTCTTTCTTTGCTGCTTTTCTTTGCCTGAACAGTGAAGGCTTACCTGGACAGTGATTACGTGCAGGGCTAGTGTGTATCCCACCTGTGCAGTTTATCAAGATTATTGCAACAACTACTGCTCAGATTTTGACAGAATTTGGGCCACAGCTCAAGAACATGTGAATAGTTTTTGATACAGATTGATTGCATGTTTAAGGCCACCAGGTTCTTTTGATGCAGATGAAGCAATTTCAAATGATTTCTACTCACTGCAAAAGCAAATGTAGAAAAAACTTGTTGCATTTTCTCTGCAGACTTTGATTAATTAATATTTTTACCGGCTGCTGAGTTGCTGATATGTGCAAAACGATTTCACCATAAACATGCATAAACATTTCTTATATATGCAGGTGCTGTGCTGTGCACTGTTTGATAACACAAACTAGAGAGTTTGTGCCCATATGAAACAAATATTGCATTAGCTTGCAATAGTGACTGCGCTGTGGATTTCTGGTTTCAGTGTTTATAGCAAAAGCAGGAAAGATTTTAACAAAATTAAACAAGCAGAGTCTTAAACTCTGTTGACTGCTTAGTTTGTGAAATCCATCCATCCATCATCTATACACCTTAATCCTCACTAGGGTGGTGGGGGGCTGGAGTCTATCCCAGCTGACTCAGGGTGAAGGCAGGTTCACCTGGACAGGTAACCAGTCTATCACAGGGCTACACTTAGAGACAGACAACCAAGCACACTCACATTCACACCTACGGACAATTTACAATCACCAATTAACCTCAGCATGTTTCTGGACTGTGGGAGGAAGCCGGAGAACCCGGAGAGAACCCACGCTGCACGGGGAGAACATGGAGACTCCATGCAGAAAGATCCCGGGTGTCCTCACTGGGACACAAACCAGCGACCTTCTAGCTGCGAGGCGACGGTGCTAACCACCTAGTTTGTGAAATTTGTATTAAAATTCATACCACTTTCTAATTCTTGCATCCTTCTTAAGCTTGCTGTAGCTTCATCAGGGGCCGTACACTGCATTCTTTTGGCTCAAAAACTAAACATTGCCTACTGAACCAATGTAAAGCAGAAATCCTACCAGGTTTAATACAGTTACGTTGGTTTCCACAGCTACACTTGAGGAAAACACCCACACACCTGCATATTCACACATGCACAAACAGGAGGAATGAGGTCATGCAGCATTCTGGAGGTGAAGATAAAGTCAGAGGTGACAGCAACACAGACGGTTATACAAGCCCTGTTTCATTCCACTGAGGTCCACCCAGGCTGAAAGTTTAAGCACTCGTGGTATGCGAGGTGTTTTCAGTGAAAGTGAGCATGAAGGGGCACCTGAGGAGGACAGACTCATGCATGTCTGTGGGCCACAAATCTCACGTAGTCACTTCAAAGAGGAGGCGAAAGAGCTGCTGAAGGTCTTAGCGGTGTTGGAGTCGAGTTCACGGTGCCGTCTGGTACATGTCAAACCGAATCGCTGTACTTTGAACACATGTGATCATTGATTTCACCCAAAGGTGGACTGGAAAAAGAGCAGCATTCACTCAAGTTCTTCATATTCGAGGCTCTGACTTTTGAAAGTTTCGCAAGAGTTTAGAAGTTTAGTCTGTAATTTTTATTCTCTATTTCAATCCAGTTATCATGTTGGAGGTAGTGTACTTTTCAGTTCACTACATCTGTCTGACAGCAGTAGGGGCAAGTACCTAAATCCAAAATATACCATGAGATTTTTATTATTATTTTTTAAAACATTTTTTAAACTTCTACTCAGGCATGCTTTGAATGCATGTATACATTTTGCATTTACAATATTTTTTTTTTTTCCCTCACAGTAATACTTTGTACAGGATGTGAAGCACCAATATGAAAACCAGCAGTTGCGGGAAGTAACTGTGTATATCTACTCATATATGTTTATTATTAATTTAAATATTTAGATTAAGACCCAGCAATATTATTTATTGTATAAATTCACCTGGCTAATTTAAACATTATATTTAAGACCCTACAATATAATGTGTTATACAAAAAGTTTATTTGTATAGCAAATTTTATAAAGAAAATATTCAAAATGCCTTAAGAATTGCATTAAAATTGTTTTTGTTTTTTTAAAGAAAAAGAAGAAGAACAGCATAGAACACATGTGATTAAAAGAATATAAATAAATAAAATATCTAGTTGTAAGGTATGAAATAAATTAAATTACTGCCAACTTTAATAAAATTAGAGACAAGTTTCTTCTTCTTCTTCTTCTTATTATTATTATTATTACTATCTTATACTGTAATAAATACTATGGCAGTATATATTATGGTGCATGTAAAATCTGCCTAACATTGTATAGTTCACTAATAATGTAATGTAATGTTTAAAATCCAAATTACAATGCAGAAAAGTAGTGAAATGGTGAGATTTTTAAAGGACAGATAACACAATTTGGTGTATTTAAATCGATGCAGTGTTGGATGAAACCAAAAACATGATTAAAATAAATAAAAGAAAATAAATTAAAGCGACAAGTGAAAACAAATTAAGCCATTGTGAGCTACTGTTAAAGATAAACTTTTTTCTTTTTCTTTTTTTTTTTACTTTTATCGGTTTTTCTAAAGTCCAAAAATTTGACTTTTCTTCTGACATAATCGAGTCTCCCAGCTGTGAGCGCACAATAAGACTCCATCTCCCATAATGCTCTGCGGCGGCGTCACTTTGTATGTCCCCGCCCCCGGTCTCCTCCTACTGCGCACGCTCAGAGGCAGCGAACGGGCAGAACGGGTCAGCTCTGTTTACGTTGAGATGCTCACAACAAAGGACAGCACTCCGCGGAGAGGCTGTCATTTAAACCCGAGCCCCGTGGATGTCCCGGTTTACGGTGAGCGTTCCCAACTCCCAGCTCCACGGAGGGGACAGCGTATAACACAAACCCTCACTGGCTTCCATTTTATTTCTACGTGGTGCGGTTTAATTTTTTTGTTAAAGACGCGGAGAAATTAAGACCAAATTTTCTTTCTTTTTTTTTTTTGTCGGTCTTGTGCCGGTTAGCTAGCCCGCTAGCCTCCGCAAGTTAGAAGCTGGTGGGAGACGCTAGCAAGCTGAGAGCGACCCGGAGACTCGGGACAATAAGAGGACTTCATCATTTACACCGCGGTGAGTAGACGTTGACAAAACCACCTGACTTCGCCTCATAATTAAAACGGCGGCGCTACAACCGTTAACCGTCGGGGGGGCTAACTCAGCGCTAGCTCTCTGTTACCAACTGTCACCTGCTTTTGTCCTGCCAGCGGCTCAACCTGGCACTTAAATTAAAAACGCTGCTTTGCCTCATCTGGTAATGTCCACACGCACACACACAATGCTGCAGCTGCAAAGTGCTGATCTTTGTTTTGCACATGCACCTGCTCTCACCTGTGTCTGTATCACGCTGGAAATCAGAAGTCTATAAAGATAAAGCTTCTGCACGACTCTGTGTGTGTGTGTGTGTGTGTGTGTGTGTGTGTGTGTGTGTGTGGAGGCTTCAGAGATGCAGGTATTAGTTTACATCACATCCAGCCTGCATGCTGACCTGTCACAGGCAGGGCTGAGTGAGAAAGGGAACATTGCCTGATAAGGAATTAAGCAAATGCACGGACTCTCCACATTACTAAAGCTTGATTTCCAGTTAATGACTTCCCCTCCCCTCCTCCTCCTTCTCCTCCTCCTCCTCCTTCTTCTGTATCTCCCATCTCATTTCACCTCTGTGTCTTTCACCGTCCTCCCCCTCTCTCTTTCTTCCCCCTCGTGCTGTCTATCTCCCCCTTCGTCTCATTCAGTCTGTCCCAGTTTGTAAGCGACGATGTGATAAGTTGGTTCGTCTGATAGAGATCTCGCTGCTTCCCTTCGCTGCTGGAGATGCCACAGAAAAGGCAGGCGTGCATTGACTCCGTGTGCAGCGCCAGGATGCCCACGGGAGATCAGAAAAACTTGAGTTTTGGTTTTCGTTCTGGCCTGTGCTTTGCATATTTGCCAACCCGGCAGGACTGATCTGTATTAGACTGAGAAGCCATCTGAACCCACCAGCATTTGAAATTCAATCTGCAATGCAATGCAGCAGGTTTTTGCACTGTTTGGTGTCTAATCTAAAAGTTATGCTCACTAGAAAACGGTAAGGGATGCAGCTGCCATCTAGAGCTGCAATGATTAATGGATTAGTTGTCATCTGTTAAATTAATCAACAACGTTTCGCTAATTGGTTTGAGTAATTGTCCAATGGCAAAGTTAAAATTCCCTCAGTCCACCTTCCTGAATTTCAGTTCCTTTACTCCTCTGTCTCAGTAGACTGAATATCTTTTGGCTGTGGCATTTGAAAGACGTCAGCCTGGGCTTTGAGGATGCATTTTTTGAATACATTTCTGACATTTTAAAGACCAAACGACTAATTGATTAATTGAGAAAGTAACCAACAGATTAGTTGACAAAGAATGCAGTTGTTGGTTGCAGCCCTGTCATCATCTGACCAAGTTATATATATCTTTCAGCACAATTCTACATGTATTTGTATGATTTGGTTGGAAAATAGCACAACAAGAAGGTAGCACAGAGTCCACAAAAAACAACTTGGAGCTACAGATCCATAACGCAGTAAAAACATCCAGTCGAAGCCGTGCGTATAAAGCGCTCTGTTGGAATCCATTTTCTGCAAGCATAACTTTTGAAGCGGCCTTCATTGAATAGTTTGGGTCCATATCAGATCCTTAGCATTGACTAAACAGAGCTGCAGCAGCACCTGCCAAGAGATTACTGCCCTGCTTTCAGGCAGGATGAGGAATAATTTGTTATGTTTTTGTGCAGACTTTTTAAAGTTCTCACAGCACTATTAATGGGGCAAACTTTTTAATGTCAAACACTCGGGACCCGGTGTTGGTTGTGTAACAGGGGGCCAGTGCGAGTGTTGCATGCAGACGTTTGTGCATTTGCATAGGGTGTGTTGCCTACAGCCCTGAATGCGTGTGTGTATGTTCTCCAACACGGTCTGGAGTCTCAGTTTCAGCGAGGAAACCCGAGCCGATGGTGTCAGACGGGAGTGCAGAGGGAGCTCTGATGTCTTAATGGAGGCTCAGTGCTGCTCGTATCCTTAGTAACCTGGTCTGTAGGGACACCGAGAGGCCTCCCAGTCTCGGCCTGGTCTGGACTGGACGAAGAAAAAAATCCCTCATAGCTCCGTTTTTATCAATGATGCTCTCATTTCAGTTACAGATTGGAATAGTCCTGTATAAGTCGGCAGGATTTGTGCTCCAATATGACCATGAAACTCTTTTAAAAGGAGAATTACAGATGTCCTCGCTGTCACTCTAATAAATGTGACTTTCAGTATTTAAATGTTTGAACAGTTGAGATTCAACAGCTTTGTTATTGCAGCTACATCCACTTTTGGAAAAAAAGAATGCAGCAGCAGCTACAGTGTAAGATTGCTTCTTCAATACAAAACACTTTTCATAAAATGCACCAACTTCTGAGAGTCTTTAGAACTTCTGAGGCCCATGTGTGAGGAAACATTTAGGAAATTAGAGGATTAGGTTAAAGAAACAACATTTTCCTGTCTGAATTAGGTTGCAAAAGAAGTGCTAAAATAGATTTTAAGTGGTTCTAACAAGCCACTGCAAATTTGATTTGTCTTGTGTTGTGTGTGGGTGAGTCGAGCGCTTCGTCTAGTCTAAGTAATGCGTCCAGCCCCTGTTATTTCTCAAAATGGCAGGTGTGTTACAATCACCGCTGTGGTGGAAATTGTAGAATACATTTTTTAAAAGCATAGCATCACGTTACACTGTGTGCGCCTCTAAGCTGAGAAAGAGATTGCTGAAGCAAATGGAACAAATGCATTTAGATCTGGAGTGAATGAATGTTGTAATTTCCTCTGTGGACTGAGCTGAGGGTAAACTTTGTAGAGAGAAACCTACTTTTATTGCATATTTACTCAGATGAAAGCTGCCAGCATTGGGTGACTAACACCTTGATGTTGAGTGAGTATATTTGAGATTCAAACCAACAAGTCAACAACATGCCCAGCAGCTGTGTGTTAGCACGCCTTTAAACCTTAATGATACGGCGTGCTCACCGTGACAGGAGGCTTTTGTTTGGCGTTTGCAGTTATCTTTCTGCGTGCACGTGCCTGTGGCGTGGAGCTTTATCGGGGAGGGCCGGCGAGCTCGGCGGGCGTAATCGTCGGCACAGCTGAGCGGCAGCTTTCCCCCCGCTGTGTGTGAGAAGCTTGGCACACTCCACCCGGTCCGGCTTACTCTCTGCCGGGCTGGTAAACAGGCTGAAGTTTGTGCTGGGAGATTACGTCTGTCACGGAAAGTGGGTCAGACAGTGGGCACGATTTTATGGCCTTGTTTCTGCAAGGTAGGGAATAAAAGAGGAGGGGGAGCATTAAACCACCAGCGATTTTTCCACAGCGCTGCTTCGGGCAGCCCGTGCTCAGGACAATCCTCTTCTGCTCTCCCTTCTGTCAGAATCATTGTCAGTTTCTCGCGCAGAACAAGCATTCGTGCTCCAAGCCACTTAGGTGGTAAGCTGCCCTGGTGTAAGCCCGTAGGGGAACATGTGTGACTCGTTTTCAATTGGTACACCCTGAAAACCGAATATTACAGTCTTATTAGTGCTAAACAAATATTCCTTTCCCCTCCTTATCCCAGGCAGCTGCTTCATTTTTGGTCAAAGACAAGCATGTGTGAAGTGATTCATGTAAAAATCGCTTATGTTTGAACAGCTGTATGAGGCTGCTGCTGCTTGCCTTGACATATTGTTGTGTTTTTTTGTTTTGAGCGAGTCCTTGTTTTCCCAAATCTCTAAAACAGAGTTGCAAAGTGAGTCGGACTCACTGAGCCACAAAAGCCACATTCATGACTAAAAGACCAGGTTGAAATAAACCGGTATTATCGTTTAAAGCTGTAGGATAAGACAGGGTTTGTTGCTTAAGTTACAGCATCTTCAGCAAACTTAAAGATGTCTTTTCGCAGGTTTTACTACCCAAATGTCTTTGAGTTGGCTTTATATGCCATCACGCCCCCTGAAATCCAGCTCTGATCCGGTTTGAACACACCTTCATGCAGTCTCATTACAGTAAACATCTTGACACACGTGAAACATAAATTAGAAAGTGAAAAACTCCACCTTGAAAACTTTGGCTGTGTCTTCGTTGTTATCTCTTTGCTCAAAATGCTATTTGGCTTGGCTCAGCTCATTTATTTGGCAACAGAAAGAACCCATATCGTATAATTTTGTGGGCATAGTTCATAGTTCTTGCCGTCTGAATAGATGGTAAAGAGACAGAAATCTGACTTCGGTTGGTGTGGCAGGGAAACAAAAGTTAGAACTAAGTGCAAGTGAGAGCAGAAGTTGCTGCATAAATGCATCGTTGAGGCCAAAAAGCCTCCATTTTCCTTCCTATTATTTTCTGGCGCTAATAAAATTCTTCCTGTAGGTCACCACACATCTACATTATCATATAAATTATGTAAATTCAGGCTGTGGAGAAATCAGTTTATTGTAAACCGTATGAATTATGGATGAATATGGTCTCTTGAATGCAATAGCAGTAACGCACATAACGATTGTATAGTGAAAAAAGACAATACAAGACGTGTGAGCTGAGAAAGTACACCTGCACAAGAGCTGAGCAGAGATTTCACAACGATGTGTCGTCCTTTCTCCGCCTATGAACGCCTGCTTTCTTCACCTGTCTTACTCTCACTCGTCCACGGAGAGGAGATTTTACTCGAGGAGCTATTTTAGTTGTGTATTTTTGCACAGGGGTCAGCTTGGTCACTCATTTTGTTCCACGAGGATGAAGTTTGTCTTTGTGTCTTTCCTTCATTTCCTCACAAAGACGTTCTCTCCGGCTGCAACTACCTGAGTCAGACGAGTGACGGAGAGCGGGCAGCGAAACATAGCGAGGCTGTTTCACCAGTCCAGTCCCTGTTTTTGGCAGCTTTATTAGCGCTTACGGTACGTCAGTTGATTTCATGAATAGAATCCTTATTTGTAAAAGTTGGTGGAGCTCTAGGAAAGAAATGGTTGTTAATGTCAAAGATGTGCTGACACACGCTGATGAAAAACGTTTTAATAATAAATACCAAAAACAAAAATGCAGCTTTTAACCACTGAAGCTC